TTCTCCAAAATTATTCATATGATGCATTCTTAATACTCATAAAAAATCCCAACTTCCTAACTTTAAAAACACCAAAGTTATTGCATTTCCGATCAATCAGTTATATGGCAGCTATAGGATATAGTCGGCCGATCCTTATGAAATTCGGCATGTCGGATTGATTAGCCAAATATAAAACCCATAGAAAATCCCAACATTCTAACTTTACAAACACCAAAGTTATGGCATTTCCGATCAATCAGTTATATGGAAGCTATAGGATATAGTCGGCCGATCCTTATGAAATTCGGCATGTCGGATTGATTAGCCAAATACAAAACCCATAGAAAATCCCAACTTCCTAACTTTACAAACACCAAAGTTATGGCATTTCCGATCGTTCAGTTATATGGCAGCTATAGGATATAGTCGGCCGATCCTTATGAAATTCGGCATGTCGGATTGATTAGCCAAATACAAAACCCATAGAAAATCCCAACTTCCTTACTTTACAAACACCAAAGTTATGGCATTTCCGATCGTTCAGTTATATGGCAGCTATAGGATATAGTCGGCCGATCCCGGCCGTTCCGACTTATATACTGCGTGCAAAGGAAAGAAGGGTGTGTGCAAAGTTTCAGTTCGATATCTTTAAAACTGAGAGACTAGTTCGCGTAGAAACAGACAGACGGACAGACAGACGGACAGACGGACAGACGGACAGACGGACAGACGGACATGGCTATATCAACTCAGGAGGTGATCCTGATCAAGAATATATATACTTTATAGGGTCGGAGATGTCTCCTTCACTGCGTTGCACACTTTTGACCAAAATTATAATACCCTCTGCAAGGGTATAATTAATGAAATTTAAGGAACTGAAATTTGTTGCTCCATGCCTATAAAAGTGGATGATAAAAAGTGCAACAAAAGCAAAAAGAAAAAATTTCATCAAACTCAAAACTCATCGGCAGCCACGGATACATATCGACTAACAATTCGCCAATTTGTAGGCAAAATGATTCGAATTTGTCCAAATTGACGGGCAACTGACAGGACAAACATATCAAAATGATCCTCATATTATAAATAATTTGTTCATCAAACATTGTATAGCCTTTTCTTGCTCACGCCGGCCCTTCTCGCTATTCTAAACAGCAACCAAGTCGGCGTTGGAGAAAGTGAGGTTATCTAAGAAAAATTAAAATTGCACCAATAGTGCGGAAAAGTGCACAATAAGACTAACAAATTTTTGCTCAGAATTGACAAGGCTACAACATACACTTGGACGCATTGAAAACTAATGCAAACTTCTATTTCAAAACTCTTCCCAAAGTTGAAATTTGTTCCTCAAAATTCAGCTTAAGGTGCATTTATAAAATGACAAAATATTAGTATAAACACACATAATTTAAACAATTAATACATTTAACATATAGTACAAGCCTGTGAGATCAGTTTCCATTTGTTTTTATACCCTTGCAGAGGGTATTATAATTTTCGTCAAAAGTGTGCAACGCAGTGAAGGAGACATCTCCGACCCTATAAAGTATATATATTCTTGATCAGGATCACCTCCTGAGTTGATATAGCCATGTCCGTCTGTCCGTCTGTCCGTCTGTCTGTTTCTACGCAAACTAGTCTCTCAGTTTTAAAGCTATCGAGTTCAAACTTTGCACACACCCTTCTTTCCTTTGCACGCAGTATATATGTCGGAACGGCCGGGATCGGCCGACTATATCCTATAGCTGCCATATAACTGATTGATCGGAAATGCCATAACTTTGGTGTTTGTAAAGTTAGGAAGTTGGGATTTTCTATGGGTTTTATTTTTGGCCAATCAATCCGACCTACCAAAGTTCATAAGGATCGGCCGACTATATCTTATAGCTGCCATATAACTGAACGATTGGAAATGCTATAACTTTGGTGTTTTTAAAGTTAGGAAGTTGGGATTTTTTATGAGTATTAAGAACGCATCATATGAATAATTTTGGAGAATATAATTTACAGAGTATTCTGCAAGGGTATATCAACTTCGGCTCCGCCCGAAGTTAGCTTTTCTTTCTTGTTAACAAATGGTCTTCTACATTTCGATAGGTATTGATAAACACAATAAAACTGCATTTTTACTTTTCCGAAATATTTAAATTTTTAAAATCGTATATAAGCGATTGTGGGCGTTAAAGGGGGCGTGGCACCTGTTTGAAACAAACTTGCGCTGCGTAGGAACTCCTAGAATCTGCATGCAAAATGACAATTTTCTAACTTTTATAGTTTCCGAGATATCAGCGTTCATACGGACAGACAGACGGACAGACGGACATGGCTATATCGACTCGGCTAGTGACCCTGATCAAGAATATATATACTTTATAGGGTCGGAAACGCTTCCTGTTACATACTTTTGCACGAATACAATATACCCTTTTACTCTACGAGTAACGGGTATAAAAATGGTAGATTAGTTAAATTTAACTTTTAAACTAATTAGGCATAGAAAATATCGCTTGTCGCCAATGCCGTGTGTTTTGCAATGTATAGGCATAGTGCCGCTTCTTGTTCCTTCGTTTTCGTGGACTTTTGAAGGAAGGGCAACTTATTTTTTTGTGTAACAGCGCCCATCGCAGCCACGTGTTTTTTTTCATGCGGCATGGTGTCGGATCTCGAAAAGTTTCGCGCCTATTGTCGATTTGCAATACGCACAATAGGCCCTGTTAGTGTCCGTCCAGTCCTTGCGAATCCACTCCTTAAACTCGTCGTCGCGTAGTCAGACATCCCGAAAATGTTGTTTTTAAATTTTTGGCATCTTTACCGACACAACACAGCACAAAAATGATCAAAAGTGTTCATATAATTGAACCACTTTTTTAAAAAATAATTCCGATGTCTTTGTGAACCATTTTCGATCGTAATTGGTTCAGTAAATTGGAATGGGTATAAAAAAGTTCAAAATGATGAAAAACAAGAAAGGAAAGCTAACTTCGGGCGGAGCCGAACTTGAAATACCCTTGCAGAATATTCTGCAAATTATATTCTCCAAAATTATTCATATGATGCATTTTTAATACTCATAAAAAATCCCAACTTCCTAACTTTAAAAACACCAAAGTAATGGCATTTCCAATTGTTCAGTTATATGGCAGCAATAGAATATAGTCGGCCGATCCTTATGAAATTTGGTAGGTCGGATTAATTGGCCAAATATAAAACCCATAGAAAATCCCAACTTCCTAACTTTACAAACACCAAAGTTATGGCATTTCCGATCAATCAGTTATGTATATGGCAGCTATAGGATATAGTCGGCCGATCCCGGCCATTCCGACATATATACAAAGGAAAGAAGGGTGTGTGCAAAGTTTCAATTCGATATCTTTAAAACTGCGAGACTAGTTCGCGTAGAAACAGACAGACGGACAGACGGACGGACAGACGGACATGGCTATATCAACTCAGGAGGTGATCCTGATCAAGAATATATATACTTTATAGGGTCGGAGATGTCTCCTTCACTGCGTTGCCCACTTTTGACCAAAATTATAATACCCTCTGCAAGGGTATAAAAATAACAAAATGTTTAGATTTGTAATAAAGTTGCTTAAATTGCAAAAAAAAAAATATGAAAAGTTGCTAGATTTGTTGCTAATAGCAAATCGAAAAAAAAGTTGCTAAAAATAGCAACTAAATAGCTAAACTGGCAGCCCTGTCGGGTACTACTCCTTGGATTGCTGCCATTAGCTATAAAAATTATTTGTATTGTGGAGGCACGCTCGTTCATCCACGTACGTACACTTGTTATACCCTTGCAGAGGGTATTATAATTTTGGTCAGAAGTTTGTAACGCAGTAAGGGAGACGTTTCCGACCCTATAAAGTATATATTGGGTTGACCGAAAAGAAACCGATGATTTTGCATACAAACGGCGTTGACAATTTTTTGAACGGCTTATGACTATGTTATTGCATTTTTGCTTTTGTCAAATATCAGCTGGTACTTTAACCTTGTTTTAGAAAAAAAACGCGCGTAATTTTATTTATATTTATTTGTTTGGCGGCAATTTTACTATTGAGCCCATAAAGGAGCATTTTCGTCATATTTTACTTTATTTGTTCCGTAAAGGAGAAAATGCAGCTCAGGTTGCTAAAAAGTTACGTGATGTGTATGGTGACAAAGCCTTAAAAAAACACAGGGTCAATGTTGGTTTGTCAAATTCCGTTTGGGAGATTTTGCAAAAGAAGATTTTGCTGTCAGTTTGGTGGGATTGGAAGGGTGTGGTATATTTTGAGCTGCTTAAAAGGAACCAAACGATTAATTCGGATGTCTACTGTAAGCAACTGGACAAATTGAATACAGCTATCAAGGAGAAGCGACCAGAATTGGTCAATCGTAAAGGTGTCATATTCCACCAGGACAACGCTAGACCGCACACATCTTTGGTCAGTCGTCAAAAACTGAGTGAACTTGGCTGGGAATTTTTAATGCATCCACCATATAGCCCTGACCTTGCACCCTCAGACTACCATTTGTTTCGGTCTTCGCAAACCTCTTGGAATGGCAAAACTTTTGATAGGGACGAGGACATAAAATCCCACTTTCTTCAGTTTTTTGCAGCTAATGACCAGCATTTTTATGAGCGTGGAATAATGAATTTAAAGGAAAGGTGGCGAAAGGTCATCCAACAAAATGGAAAATATATAATTGATTAAAGTTCATTCTAAAACTCAAAAAAATGTTTCTACTTTTTTTGAAAAAATCACCGGTTTCTTTTCGGTCAACCCAATATATTCTTGATCAGCATCACCAGGAGAGTCTGCCCATCTCGCCGTCAGCTTGAAACTTTCTTTATATTGCAGGTAGTATATAAGTCGGAACGCGCCGGATCGGGCGACTATATCATATAGCTCCCTTAGAAATGACACATTAATCTTTGAATCAGTAGTTGATAAGCCTCCCCATAAGCTTCCGTTTCGAAAAAATTGCCGATTGCATTTAGTAATTTCAGATCTCTTCACTAGGAATGACGTCTTTTGTGATTTTCTTGGGACTGTTTGTCTTGGTATTCTGCCACGATGAAATGCGTCAACTTTTGGATAGTAATTGTGACGATTACCTTGAAGAAAGAGTAACTTCAGGAACTAATGCACGCCCGGGTACTACTCCTTGGATTGCTGCCATAAGCAATGGAACTCATTTTTTTTGCGCAGGCACGCTCGTTCATCCACGTACGTACACTTGTTTTATAGTAAACTGGCAATCATTTAATCGCATTCATTCCAGGTTTCGTCTTGACAGCCGCCCACTGCATTAAAAATAATCAACAATTGTAAGTACCCTGCCGACGCAGAAAAAACTGTTTGTCTAATCTTGTTCGCTTAGTCTGGTGAGCTTAGGGATGTACGACATGACCTGCCCAGAAGAAAAGTGCCCAGAAATAAAAAATTATGATGTGATTAAGGCCATACATCATCCCCATTTTAACGACTTTACCAACGAAAATGATATCGCCGTTTTAAAATTGAGCGTTGAAGTGGTTTACAATGGTAAGCTAATAATAACCATAGGAAAATATATAACCTTTCATAAAAACACTAAGAATAAGTTGATATTTTGAGGATTTTTTGCATTACTATTTTTATACCCTTGCAGAGGGTATTATAATTTTGGTCAAAAGTTTGCAACGCAGTGAAGGAGACATCTCCGACCCCATAAAGTATATATATTCTTGATCAGGATCAATAGGGGAGTCGATATAACCATGTCCGTCTGTCTGTCTGTTTCAATACCGTTTGCGAGCTCAGCTTAAAAGCTAGCGATCTGAAACTTTTACAGCCGTCCTAAAACATGTGTACGCATATCAAGTTTAAAAAGCCCCCCGATCGGACGTCTATATACTATAGCTCCCATGGGAGCAATCGGATATACCTTCCGAGAATTGAAGATATTTCGCGCAGTTTAAAAGGTATTGTCATGCAGCTTTCCAAATCTCGTTTTTTTGTACATATAGTACCTTGATAAGGGTAAAAGCGCATGCCGATCGGACGTCTATATCTTATAGCTCCCATAGAAACAATAGTGTGAAATCGGTTAAAACTTAATCTTTTTAAGGTTATTTCGCGCAGTGTATAATCTATTGACATACATTTTTCCAAGTCTTATTTATTTATGCATACCTTGATCAGCGCAAAAGCGCTTGCCGATCGGACGTCTATATCTTATAGCTTCCGTGGGAAAAATTGTTAAAGGCTGCGAAAATTTCCATTTTTTTCTTTTTTACATACATGACATTTTTGCAGTAGCTATTGACATGAAACTATGCAAATCTAGTTTATTTATGTATACCTTATTTTTTTCGCTACTTTTTTAATATTAGCAATTTCGGCAAGGTCTGCAAGGGTATTAAAGGGTTAGCTTCCGTCCTCGTTTACATTACTATTTTTTAAATAATTTGTTTTATAACTTTAAGCCCTTAAATACACAATATTTTTTTTTTGAATTGAATCGGTAAGAAACATTTCCCGTGCTATAATAATGAATATTATAAATACAGTAGAATCCGGTTATAACGAGTCCGCTTATAGTGTCCGTCCGGTTATTGCGACGAAAACTCAAAGACTTCGTTGGTCCCCATACAAACTTATACTTTCTAAGTTTGAATTAACTTATATGGTTAGTTCCTCTTCCGGGTATAACGACGTAAAATCCTCGGTCCCTTGAAAGTCGCTATAACCGGATTTTACTGTATATAAATTTCAGTGATTTTTTAACCCTTTATCGGCCTAGCTTGTAGGTTAAAATAAAGGTAAATTCAATATTTTTTGTTTTATATTAAATTTCAAATTTCTTAAGAGGGGGGTATAGTTAATTCGTTGAAAAATCTGACATTTTAAAAAATTTTTATTGGCGATACGGATAGTCTCAGCTCAATTTTTATACCCTTGCAGAGGGTATTATAATTTTGGTCAAAAGTGTGCAACGCAGTGAAGGAGACATCTCCGACCCTATAAAGTATATATATTCTTGATCAGGATCACCTCCTGAGTTGATATAGCCATGTCCGTCTGTCCGTCTGTCTGTCCGTCTGTCTGTTTCTACGCGAACTAGTCTCTCAGTTTTAAAAATATCGAATTCAAACTTTGCACACACCCTTCTTTCCTTTGCCCGCAGTATATATGTCGGAATGGCCGGGATCGGCCGACTATATCCTATAGCTGCCATATAACTGATTGATCGGAAATGCCATAACTTTGGTGTTTGTAAAGTTAGGAAGTTGGAATTTTCTATGGGCTTTATATTTGGCCAATCAATCCGACCTACCAAATTTCATAAGGATCGGCCGACTATATCTTATAGCTGCCATATAACTGATTGATCGGAAATGCCATAACTTTGGTGTTTGTAAAGTTAGGAAGTTGGGATTTTCTATCGGTTTTATATTTGGTCAATCAATCCGACCTACCAAATTTCATAAGGATCGGCCGACTATATCCTATAGCCGCCATATAACTGATTGATCTGAAATGCCATAACTTTGGTGTTTGTTAAGTTAGGAAGTTGGGATTTTCTATGGGTTTTATTTTTGGCCAATCAATCCGACCTACCAAAGTTCATAAGGATCGGCCGACTATATCTTATAGCTGCCATATAACTGAACGATTGGAAATGCCATAACTTTGGTGTTTTTAAAGTTAGGATGTTGGGATTTTTTATGAGTATTAAGAATGCATCATATGAATAATTTTGGAGAATATAATTTACAGAGTATTCTGCAAGGGTATATCAACTTCGGCTCCGCCCGAAGTTAGCTTGCCTTTCTTGTTTTTTTTATTTTTTTTCGATTTTTTAAGGCAAAAACACCGATTTTCGCCTAAAACGTCGAGATATTTGTTACTGTAAAATTAATAAATTAAAAAAAAAAAAAACTCGACAGCGTTACGTGAGGAATTTAGTTGAGAACAACTGTGCAAAATTTCAAAACGATCCGGGCAACTTTTCAGGAGAGCGTTTTAAAGTTTTGGACACCCATACAAAACGAGCTAACTTACCTACGTTCAACTGGCCCTATGTTCGGAAGCTTTACTCGGACCGATCTAAAACTTTAACACAATTTTCTCAAGATGTTGTGCATTCAGAAAAAAAAAAAAAAATGCAAAAAAAAATTTTTAATACTTTACCCCCCTTAAGCCCTAGCACAGTACATACTTGATTCTTTAATGCAACTTAGTCTAGTCTATATTTTTATAAGAATTCTGTATTTTTAAGATAAGATCGTTCAATGTGGAATAATACTTTCTTGAAATTTATTTAATGTTATTGATTAGAATGGATCCGTTCGATCTGCATTGTCACTGGTGACGGGCTAAAAACGTCGTCAATCGTGAATTTCTCGGCATATGGCTGGGGTGCAACGGAGAACCTTTACTTAAGTCCAATCCTTAAGACCATCAATCTTTCCCACACACCGCAATCTTGCTTAAGGTTTTACGAGGAATCGCAGATCTGCGCTGGTGCCGAAAGAGGCGACACTTGCCATGGTGACTCAGGTGGTCCACTGGTCGCCAACATCACATATCGGGGATTCGTATTCCCCACATTGATCGGGGTCACTAGCTATGGTTCCAAATTCTGCAACGCTAGTGCCAACTACGCGAACGTTACGGTCTTCAGACAATGGATCAAAAATACCATTTTGGCTAACAATTACGATCAGGATCAGGAGCCCTTGTTGGATGAGAACTGCAGCAGCACTTGGGATAAACATGGATCTGTTCACGAACCCTGGAAAGTATTATTATATTACTACCTTCCTATGGGCCATGGTAATTATTTTCAATGGTAAACTTAATAGTCGATAATATTTTAATTTACGTTTTCTAGGCTGTCTTAGTAGTACCCAAATGCCTTCTGGCTCCTTAATCACAAATCGTAATTATTTTTAATAGTAAACATAATACTAGATAACATTTCAATTTACGTTTTATAGGCTTTGTTCTTACTACTGCAAGTAGTTTGCCCACAAATGTAAAGCTTATGTAAGTAGCAATGAAATAATATCAACCTATTTGAAATTTTTATTGGTATCTCTTGAAGTTATTATTTGTGAAATTATTATTTGATTGCGTGGATCTTAAAATGGACTTATGATCTTAATACAAATGCATCGTACTGTTTTGGATCAAAAATAATCAAGAGTTTTTAAATTTATTGAATTGTGTTCGCTAAAATAAATTTGATTATTTTTGTTAGATAAGAATATATACTATAACAATGACTTGAACTGTTTTGATGATAAACAATGTTTTCATTATCTTATTTCGCTTCGGTTACTAAACTCTCAACCACTAAAGAAAGAATCATATAAGATAATTATTACAAATTTATTTACAATTAGTTGTTTATATATTTGATGCAGACTTGTTAGAGCGTCCGGCGGTGTCAGCTTTACCGTTAAATCTGCCCACAAGCATCCCCAATTCACCGACTTCAACACGAGTTATGCAAATGATATAGCTTTGCTTGAACTTGATCGAAATGTGCGTTATTCTCGTAAGTTAATTTATTTTACCAACTTCATTTCTTAATAACTTTCGTTATCTTGCTGTAGAAAATCTGGCACCGATCTGCTTCCGCCCAAGTCTTCAGATGTCGGAGAACCCACCAACATCGCTTACTGCCATTACTCCTTCTTCGAAAAATGATCACTGCAAATTTGAATATGAGAACTTCACCGTCATTGATCGTGTTACCATTGGACTTGTCATATATGAAAATCAAATCTGTGTGAAAGAATCGTCCACCGTTTTACATTCAGGTTGCGTATTTGGTGCCAGCGAATCTACGTCGTCGGGCGACAAGTTCTTTCTCCACGGCATTGCGAGCTTTAGGAAGAACGGTGTGGTCATTCTTACAAATATTACATCATACGCGGATTGGATAACGGAAACTGTAAATTTTAAATAATAAAATGTCATTAATATCACCCAGGGAAACATATTCGACTAATTTCTTTTTAGAATAATACATACTATGCTTGATTTAATTCTACATACTTAAAATATAAGTAAAAACAAGAAAGGAAAGCTAACTTCGGGCGGAGCCGAAGTTGATATACCCTTGCAGAATATTCTATAAATTATATTCTCCAAAATTATTCATATGATGCATTCTTAATACTCATAAAAAGTCCCAACTTCCCAACTTTAAAAACACCAAAGTTATGTCATTTCCAATCGTTCAGTTATATGGCAGCTATAAGATATAGTCGGCCGATCCTTATGAAATTTGGTAGGTCGGATTGATTGGCCAAAAATAAAACCCATAGAAAATCCCAATTTCCTAACTTTACAAACACCAAAGCTATTGCATTTCCGATCAATCAGGTATATGGCGGCTATAGGATATAGTCGTCCGATCCTTATGAAATTTGGTAGGTCGGATTGATTAGCCAAAAATAAGACCCATAGAAAATCCCAACTTCCAAACTTAAAAAACACCAAAGTTATGGCATTTCCGATCGTTCAGTTATATGGCAGCTATATGATATAGTGGCCCGATCCGGCTCGTTCCGACTTATATACTACCTGCAATAGAAAGACAACTTTTGGGAAAGTTTCAAGCAGATAGCTTTAAAACTGAGGGACTAGTTTGCGTAGAAACGGACGGACAGACGGACAGACGGACAGACGGACGGACAGACGGACGGACAGACGGACAGACGGACATGGCTATATCAACTCAGGAGGTGATCCTGATCAAGAATATATATACTTTATAGGGTCGGAAATGTCTCCTTCACTGCGTTGCAAACTTTTGACTGAAATTATAATACCCTCTGCAAGGGTATAAAAATTGTGGATTTACCTAAAGACTTAGAATTCCACTGTAAAAATACCCTTGCAGAGGATATTATAAGTTCAGTGAGAAGTTTGCAACGCAGTGAAGGAGACATTTCCGACCCTATAAAGTATATATATTCTTGATCAGGATCACCCCCTGAGTTGATATAGCCATGTCCGTCTGTCCGTCTGTCTGTCCGTCTGTCTGTTTATACGCGAACTAGTCTCTCAGTTTTAAAGATATCGAATTGAAACTTTGCACACACCCTTCTTTCCTTTGCACGCAGTATATAAATCGGAACGGCCGGGATCGGCCGACTATATCCTATAGCTGCCATATAACTGATTGATCGGAAATGCCATAACTCTGCTGTTTGTTAAGTTAGGAAGTTGGGACCTCTATGGGTATTATATTTGGCCAATCAATCCGACGTACCAAATTTCATAGGGATCGGCCGACTATATCCTATAGCTGCTATATAACTGATTGATCGGAAATGCCATAACTTTGGTGTTTGTTAAGTTAGGAAGTTGGGATTTTCTATGGGTTTTATTTTTGCCCAATCAATCCGACATATCAAATTTCATTAGGATCGGCCGACTATATTCTATAGCTGCCATATACATAACTGAACGATTGGAAATGCCATAACTTTGGTGTTTTTAAAGTTAGGAAGTTGGGATTTTTTATGAGTATTAAGAATGCATCTTATGAAAAATTTTGGAGAATATAATTTGCAGAATATTCTGCAAGGGTATTTCAACTTCGGCTCCGCCCGAAGTTAGCTTTCCTTTCTTGTTTTTCATCATTTTGAACTTTTTTATACCCATTCCAATTTACTGAACCAATTACGATCGAAAATGGTTCACAAAGACATCGGAATTATTTTTTAAAAAAGTGGTTCAATTATATGAACACTTTTGATCATTTTTGTGCTGTGTTGTGTCGGTAAAGATGCCAAAAATTTAAAAACAACATTTTCGGGATGTCTGACTACGCGACGACGAGTTTAAGGAGTGGATTCGCAAGGACTGGACGGACACTAACAGGGCCTATTGTGCGTATTGCAAATCGACAATAGGCGCGAAACTTTTCGAGATCCGACACCATGCCGCATGAAAAAAAACACGTGGCTGCGATGGGCGCTGTTACACAAAAAAATAAGTTGCCCTTCCTTCAAAAGTCCACGAAAACGAAGGAACAAGAAGGCACTACGCCTATACATTACAAAACACACGGCATTGGCGACATGCGGTCATTTATATGCATAATTAGTTTAAAAGTTGAATTTAACTAATCTACCATTTTTTTGTTGGCTATTTTCGACGAATTTTTAGCAATTTCTAGCAACTTTTTATACCCGTTACTCGTAGAGTAAAAGGGTATATTGTATTCGTGCAAAAGTATGTAACAGCTAGAAGGAAGCGTTTCCGACCCTATAAAGTATATATATTCTTGATCAGGGTCACTAGCCGAGTCGATATAGCCATGTCCGTCTGTCCGTCTGTCCGTCTGTCTGTCTGTCTGTCCGTATGAACGCTGAGATCTCGGAAACTATAAAAGCTAGAAGATTGGCATTTTGCATGCAGATTCTAGGAGTTCCTACGCAGCGCAAGTTTGTTTCAAAAAGGTGCCACGCCCCCTTTAACGCCCACAATCGCTAATATACGATTTAAAAAATTTAAATATTTCGGAAAAGTAAAAATGCAGTTTTATTGTGTTTATCAATACCTATCGAAATGTAGAAGAAATTTTTCAAATCGGACCATTCGTTAAAGAGTTATGCGTGATCAAAGTTTCCATCTCCATCTCCCTCGCACTCCCTCTAGCTGAGTAACGGGTATCTGATAGTTGGGGCACTCGACTATAGCGTTCTCTCTTGTTTTATTTATATTTATTTGTTTGGCGGCAATTTTACTATGAAGCCCATAAAGGAGCATTTTCGTCATATTTTACTTTATTATTTCCGTAAAGGAAAAAATGCAGCTCAGGTTGGTAAAAAGTTACGTGATCTGTAACAAAGTGACAAAGCCTTAAAAAAACACAGTGTCAATGTTGGTTTGTCAAATTCCGTTTGGGAGATTTTTCAAAAGAAGATTATGCTGTCAGTTTGGTGGGATTGGAGGGGTGTGGTATATTTTGAGCTCCTTAAAACGATTAATTCGGATGTCTACTGTAAGCAACTGTACAAATTGAATACAGCTATCAAGGAAAAGCGACCAGAATTGGTCAATCGTAAAGGTGTCATATTCCACCAGGACAACGCTAGACCGCACACATCTTTGGTCAGTCGCCAAAAACTGAGTGAACTTGGCTGGGAACTTTTGATGCATCCACCATATAGCCCTGACCTTGCACCCTCAGACTACCATTTGTTTCGGTCTTTGCCGAGGACATAAAATCCCACTTTCTTCAGTTTTTTGCAGCTAAAGGCCAGAATTTCTATGAGCGTGGAATAATGAATTTAAAGAAAAGGTGGCGAAAGGTCATCCAACAAAATGGAAAATATATAATTGATTAAGGTTCATTCTAAAACTCAAAAAAATGTTTCTACTTTTTTTGAAAAAATCACCGGTTTCTTTTCGGTCAACCCAATATATTCTTGATCAGCATCACCAGGAGAGTCTGTCCATCTCGCCGTCAGCTTGAAACTTTCTTTCTATAGCCGGATCGGGCGACTATATCATATAGCTCCCTTAGAAATGACACATTAATCTTTGAATCAATAGTTGATAAGCCTCCCCATAATCTTCCGTTTCGAAAAAATTGCCGATTGCATTTAGTAATTTCAGATCTCTTCACTAGGAATGACGTCTTTTGTGATTTTCTTGGGACTGTTTCTCTTGGTATTCTGCCACGATGAAATGCGTCAACTTTTGGATAGTAATTGTGACGATTACCTTGAAGAAAGAGTAACTTCAGGAACCAATGCACGCCCGGGTACTACTCCTTGGATTGCTGCCATAAGCAATGGAACTAATTTTTTTTGCGCAGGCACGCTCGTTCATCCACGTACGTACACTTGTTTTATAGTAAACTGGCAATCATTTAATCGCATTCATTCCAGGTTTCGTCTTGACAGCCGCCCACTGCATTAAAAATAATCAACAATTGTAAGTACCCTGCCGACGCAGAAAAAACTGTTTGTCTAATCTTGTTCGCTTAGTCTGGTGAGCTTAGGGATGTACGACATAACCTGCCCAGAAGAAAAGTGCCCAGAAATAAAAAATTATGATGTGATTAAGGCCATACATCATCCCCATTTTAACGACTTTACCAACGAAAATGATATCGCTATTTTAAAATTGAGCGTTGAAGTGGTTTACAATGGTAAGCTAATAATAACCATAGGAAAATATATAACCTTTCATAAAAACACTAAGAATAAGTTGATATTTTGAGGATTTTTTGCATTACTATTTTTATACCCTTGCAGAGGGTATTATAATTTTGGTCAAAAGTTTGCAACGCAGTGAAGGAGACGTTTCCGACCCTATAAAGTATTTATATTCTTGATCAGGATCAATAGGGGAGTCGATATAACCATGTCCGTCTGTCTGTCGTTTTCAATACCGTTTGCGAGCTCAGCTTAAAAGCTAGCGATCTGAAACTTTTACAGCCGTCCTAAAACATGTGTACGCAGATCAAGTTTGAAAAGCCCCCCGATCGGACGTCTATATCCTATAGCTCCCATGGGAGCAATCGGATATACCTTCCGAGAATTGAAGATATTTCGCGCAGTTTAAAAGGTATTGTCATGCAACTTTCCAAATCTCGTTTTTTTGTACATATAGTACCTTGATAAGGGTAAAAGCGCATGCCGATCGGACGTCTATATCCTATAGCTCCCATAGAAACAATAGTGTGAAATCGGTTAAAACTTAATCTTTTTAAGGTTATTTCGCGCAGTGTATAATCTATTGACATACATTTTTCCAAGTCTTATTTATTTATGCATACCTTGATCAGCGTAAAAGCGCTTGCCGATCGGACGTCTATATCTTATAGCTTCCGTGGGAAAAATTGTTAAAGGCTGCGAAAATTTCCATTTTTTTTTTTTTACATACATGACATTTTTGCAGTAGCTATTGACATGAAACTATGCAAATCTAGTTTATTTATGTATACCTTATTTTTTTCGCTACTTTTTTAA